TCCAACCCCTACCAGTCCAGGATTCTGTGATTCTGTGAACCCAACTGGGCTGCTTTGCTGTGGTCAAGTTCGCAGTGCAGGGCTCTTCCAGGAACCAAGGCAACAAATGCAAGCCATATCAGTCACACTGTCGGCAGCGCTGATATTTCAGAGTGACATGAGGTTTAACCAACTGTAAGGAAAAACAGTGTTTTCCACGTCCTCTCTCCTAGTGGAAAGCAAGAATTTCTTAAAGACAGACTTGGAGACACATCAGCCCACCCTGCACAAGACTCACGTGTTGCAGTAGCGGAATATCCCCCGGATATCCACCTCTCGCACAGCAGCGTTCACGATGGGCACAGTGACCATGTCAGGCCCCAGCCCTACCAGCACCAAGGTCCCACCAGAACGAGTGGCCTGGAGAATAAACACACAAATATGTTCTATTTTGCAAAAAACCAGTCACCAGAGCCTACACAGAAGTCTGTAAAAAAATAAAGCCACACTTTGTGGCTGTAATGGACTGTCCAGGGCACAGTGGAGAAGCCAGGGGAGAGGTAGGATTCTGACAGGAGCCCATAAATGTGAAATATGAATAAAATAAGGCTTAAAAAGCAATTTTTTAAAAATCTCTGAAGGATTTTGGTATCTAAATCTCATTCTGAAAAATGACTGGCACTTAGGAATACGAGAAGTACTTTTGTTTTCAGTGGGAAAGATTTAAAACTAAGAGCCTGATGCTCCACTGGAATTTCTCTTTTTGCAGCTTGTCCCATTGGTCTCCTGCCCCTTCACTGTGAAACTCTGCACCACCTTCTCCACATCCTCCCCTCAGGCAGTTCATGAGAGCAAAACATCCCCTCCTTAACTGCTTTCTTCACCTGCTGGAATTAGTTTTCTTAATTATTCTCCTTATTTAGACATAATTTCAGCTTAATGGAAGATGCTGCCCTGCTTGTACCAGCTGCCTGATGCTGCTGCATAGCCATGCTTCGGTTTCAGGGTCCTACCATCATCTCTTTGGTAAGTGGTAAAGCATCTGATCAAATCAGACAATTATCTCCATGCTGTCTGCAAAGACGTTAAATCTTTGTCTCTCTCGGTTTGTTGTCTAACGAGCATCTTCTCTCCCCCACGTTGAAATTAAACACTACAGGAGTGAAATAACTGTCATTCACTGCTGCGTCCCAGAAAGAGGAAGGCCAATGCCATCACTGCTCTACCCTGGGGATAAGTGGTACTCACATAAATGCCAGCCTGGATGCAAGCTTCCACTCCTGTACACTCCACAGTTATCTCAGGCATGCAGCCAAGCAGACTTTCCACTTTGGAGGCCACCTCCTGTGGGGTCTCATTCTTTATCTGGATGGTGAAATCTGCCCCCACCTCCTTGGCTTTTTGCAGTCGAGAGGCAGATAAATCTGAAGAAAGACAAAACAAGTCAAGAACTGGAGCATTATATGAAGCAGAAGAGGAGCAAGAACCTGAGCCTGCAATCTACTTCCTACCCCCATTTGTTGTCTCAACAGAGCCACCTTCTTCGGTGACCAGCCGTCAACTATCTCAGAGAGAAGAGAGTATTTGTTACATAGTAGGAGAAGATGGAAAGCTCCAGCCTGCTAGTACCTTCTCAAGAATTTATGTAGACCACTCAGATCAAAAGGCTTCCCACCCTTGATGTAAGTAGAAACCATCAAGGAGCCCCGATGGAAGCACACTCGTCTGGGGTGTGAACACGTGTTCACAGGGCAGCATACAACCAGGAGAGGAAAGGGTCTACATTTCCTCCCTCAAATTCATGCAGCCTTCAGTGAGGATGCAGGGAGGAGACCTGCTCACTTTTCCGGGCAGGCAGAGAAGGACAAGCAACGGGGACAACTTAAAGACTCAGGAGATGCCAAAGGCTTGAGGGTGTGCTTCAAAGACATTAAAGTATAAACTCAGGAATGAAATCCACACCATGCAAAGCAACGTGCAAGTGAAGGAACAGTGGTCATCACTAGATGCGAGGGGTGTCTTCTGTAAGAACATGAGTTCATAGATCTCCCCATTTCTCTACAGTACTGCAGGAACATTGAGAGTGTGCCAAGACAAACTGGAAGGCCAAGCTCAACTCCAAAAGGCATGTACATTGATGCAGAAACTGCAGCAGGAACAGCCGTGGCCAAGCACTGGCGTGCTGCTGTGCCTGCCCCGGGCTGCTGCGCGTTGCCATCCCGAGGCTCAGCACAGAGCAAAGGAACCTCAGCGCAGGCAGAGGCAAACAGTGGAGGAGGGCAGGACAGACAGGGCAGCGCTGACCTACACTCACCCTGTTTGAACAGCGCTCTTGTGTCTTACCAAACCTGCCACTGTCCAACCCTGCGCTGCCCAGTGCCTCTCTGGCCACGACTCTTGCATGAAGTAGCTTCACTAATTCACACGGGACCTTAATCCACTAGTGAAAAGGACTGTAAAAAACCCACATTATAACGAGTTAACCTAGGGAGAAGCCTACAACGAAGCAAAACCCCACCACTCGCTTTTGCATTTTCCTTCCCTGGCTCTCTAGATGATTTGCTGTTGCTCATACCCTTGAGGATCTCTCTCAAAGGGCACAAGGCAGAGGCAAGGTTGCTCTGACCTTGCGCCCTGATGGCTCAGAAATCACCTGGCTATGGACAGCACAGTGCCAAGAAGCCTTTCTGACAGGAGAGGTCGGGCTCAGAGGATCGTTAATGTGGCCACTTCACTTCTAATGGTAGATTACAAGCTCAAGCTGTCCGAGGGCTTCCTCAATGAACCGTCAGCAGATGCTTTCAGCTGAATGAACTGCAGAATGCGTTAGTTGGCAACACTAAGTGCATCCCTGCTGTTACAGACCTCTCCCATCCTTTTACCCGCCTTCTAACAGCACTGGAGGCTGCTGAGCATCTCTCAGGGGAGCTTCCACTGCAGATGAATAAGCAGGCAAGCCCATAAGAAAAAGGGAGTGGATTTGGTAATATGGTGGACCTTGGATACCCCATTAACACAGAGCAACGAAGCTAGTGATGATAAATGTCAGTGAGAGCATGGCTGTACTCTGGTACCTCTTGACAGTGGTATAAATATCTTTTGAAGATCCATAAAATGGTTTGTACCATGGAGCGAGCTGCCCTGGCAGGCAGCCACACTGTCTCTTTTCTTCCATGTCCCCTGGAAGGAAGCCACCCACCCCTCTGCAGGCACCACTGGTGACCAGGACATCTCTGGAGATGAGGAGGTGGACAGCAGAAGAGTGGCATTTCCGAGGCAGAAACAGCCTCTCTGCCTTGCACTGAAGCAGCGGTCTACAGCGGTCTTCCTGTGTGTCAGCACTGGAAAAGACATCTAGATCGAAGGAGGATGTAACAGCCGAGATTTCCTAGACTAGAGGGGTGGGCAATGTCTCCTGCCAGAGGTCCTAGGCTTGAAGACTCAGAAAATAATGCCTTTGCCAGGGGCATGCTTGTCTCCAGGACACAGAGCATGCTCACCACAAAGAAGAACATACTGCTCTCACCGGGACGCAGTCTTAGGCGGGAAATATTAAGGAAAAAGAGGAGGAAGAGGCCACTGCCCTGATATGAGCCGCTCTGATTCAGCCCCAGCGCTGGAAGGAAGCCAGGCCAGAGGATCTGCCCTGCCCATCATGCAGCAAATGTGACATTACCTACTGCCAGGGCAGGTGGTGGACATGCCTCCACCAGCAGCAGGAGGGCTTGGGATGCCCGGGTATGGGCACACCCATCCAGATGAGCACCCAGGAGATCTGTGGAGGGATTTTCAAGAAGCAAGAACAAAGAGTAATAAAACGCAGATGAAGGAGGAGAAGCCAAGGCTGAAAAGTAAGGGCAGCATCATCCTGGAAGCCTCGATGTGGGCTCTTGTTCCTGTGGCTGCATGAGTCACCTCTGTCCCTCCCAAGCTCTCAGCGTTGGGCCTCGAGCTGCGTGTGCAGTCATGCTTGACCCTCTGCTAGCAGAGCTGCACTTCGAGACCTCCCAAGCAGCAAGAGCTGCTATTTTTGAGGCACTTGAAGAGCTAAGAAGCACTTCTGCCTGGCACGCCTGGTGTCTCCCAAACCTCCATGTACAGCAAGAACACCATGGGGGCTCAACAGTGGTCCCAGCAATGGACCAAACTCCTCACAAAGTGCCCTGCTCAAAACACCGGTGTGCAGCAGATACAGCTGGATTCAGCTGTTTGTAGCATCTGCCCACTCACTAATATATTTTATACTGTCTCTCTGGCAGAAATACATCCAGAGGCAGCATCCTGGAGCAACAGGAGAGACAGGCTGTCCACATTTCAAAGTGGCCACAAAAGTTGCTCTCAGGCAGCAAAACCCCACTCCTGTCCTACAGCTGGCCTCTGGTTTGCTGACCAGCTTGGGAAAGGAAGTCCTCGTGTTGGAGAGGCACACAGGACGCAGCAGCAATACCATCAGACCTGTCAGGACTGCGATAACATCTTGGTACACCCGGCCTAAGTGAATCACCGCTAAGCACAGAACCTGACAGATCTGCAGGTGACCAAATGAGAAGGTCACCGTATTGTTTAGAGATTCAGACACTTGAGAAGGATCAAGTCTTTCAAATTTTAAACCTTACTGTGGCCGAACCCCACACAACTCTTGAGAAACTGGTCAATTATACAATAAAAGGGTTGCATCTTGCCTCTAGTCAGAAATTTGTTTTCACTTCCCGGCCACTGGAGCTAATTAAAGTTTTGGCTGCCAGACTAAGAGTAGCCCGTTCTTGTACCTCTGCTCCCACGGAAGTTATCAAATTACATTTAAGCTTCTCATGATGGTTTATGAGTCAACACAACAGGCAAATATTCTTGAAGCCCTCACACTTCCTATGTTGATCTTCTTTCACAAAGGAGTTGAACTCTGTCCAATTATTTACCTTCCCTGTCCCTGACTTCCAGGGTTTCTGGAGGCACCAGCAGCCAGGACTTCAGATTTAGATAGCACAAGGGTAATAGTTTCCCTTAAGCAGGAATTAGTAAGTCTACCTTTACTGACAGAGTAAGGCAAGACAGCCCAACACCGCAATAGGAATACCCAAACTGTCACTCCACTTGCTGGGGAATAAGGCTGCTCTTTTACATGCCTCTAAGGAGAAAAGCAGCTTTTCAGAGCAACAGCAATGTCCACAGCAAGGCAGAAGGACAGGAGAAGGTTGCCCATAAATATCAATCTCAGCAGTGGAGTGGAGAAAACCACAGACCTTAGGGAAGAGTAGATGAGGACCCATGAAACAAACCCATCTTCTGCACCCAACTGCAGCCCGTTAAATACATTAGACATACATCCCCCTGCCCCAAAAGGGAGAACACCAGTCTGCCAGGAAGAAAGCACTTCAGGGAGAAGAGCAAAGTTTATCAGAAGCACTATACTATACTATACTATATCAGACAAGCTGCCGTATCTGGGAGGAAAGGCAAGCTTTGACACAAAGCCTTTGGAAGGGTAGGGCTGAGCGTTAGTCTCTAGCTACAGTGCCAGCCATTCTCTGGGAGTCCCAGAGAAGCGACCAGACCCCTCGGCAGAGATGTAACTTTCCAAAATTCGTTGACTCCAGGTGTGACAAAGACATGCACTGCAGAAGCTGTATGAGATGAGTTCTCCCCAGGTCAAGAAAAAGCTCTTCTGGATATTTCTGTATTTGTGTGCGGCTTGTCAAAACAAACACAAACATTTAAAGCCTTAAGTGCTGCGCAGACAAAGCTCTTCACAGACAAATACATAATAAAAATTCCAGGCAATGAATTCAAAGAATCTGGTAGCAAAGTACAAGAGGGCCTTTGTGGGCAGACAGTCACCTCACAGGTGTGGGCTCCTAAAGCCAACACAAAAAGCAGTTCCTTGAGAAGGGCAGCAAAATCCCCTGCGGCAACGAGCCAGACTAAACCCATTCCTTAGCTCATGTCACGCACATATATTTGACTAGGGACAGTACCTCCATGGGCATCTCTGAGCATCTCAGCCAAACACCTCTCAGGTGGGAGATGTCTACAAATCAGGATCATTACCTAGGCCAAGGCATAAAGATAAGAAGGGGTTGATTCCATGTAGCTGAGCTTGCTGACCACACAAACCACGTACCAAGAACTTCCTATGGCCACCTGGAGCCCTGTGGCACATGCTATATGGATCTGCTGGCCAATGGTCCCCAGGAACAGTCTACAGGCAGAGGCAACAGCAGCTCCAGTGCTACAGGGAAGGATACATCCAGGCAGGACTGGGGATGGGGCGGCAGGCTGAACCAGCTGCCTCAGCCCCACCAACCCCTGCCAGCTCACCAAGCCCTTCTCCACCCAAGGACCAGGTCACCCACCAGCCCCTGCACCAGCTCAGCTCAGCAGCAAGGTTCCTCATACATGATTCAAGAGGCAGAGCTGCTTTTCCTGCTATAGCAACCATCATCCTCAAATTACAACACTTCACAAAATCTGAGGCCTGGACTATCACATCCACCAAGCACACGCCTGAAGGGTGGGGCCAGCAGAGCAAAAAATGCCATGGACTCGGCAGCAAGAGGTTTTAGGGAGGAGAAGGCAATAATCTGCTTTAGGTTTTGTCATGAGCTATTTTTGTCATGAGCTACTGCTGAAGGATGCTTCCGCAAAGGCAAGAGGGTGGGACCTCAATTTTGTCTCTCAACCCGAAGATGGATACACAGTGATAGAGGTCAAAAATATACCTGACCCCAAGAGTGGGAGGTGAAGTAACAGCCTTCTGAAAGGTCCACGTTGGGTCTTTGGCCCAAAAACACTGCAGCAACCTGTGCTCATTGTCCAGTCGTACCTGTAACAGCTCCCTCCAGCCACCACTGCTCAGAAGGATCAAAGAGTAGCGGAAACACCACTCCCAGGCCCCGTCCAAACCTCAGGTGGAAATTTCAACCAGGGAACCTCCTGAGGTTACTCCAGCTCTCAATTCTTCTGGGCAAGCTCCACAGAGAAGAGCCTGACCTTTGAGGAGAGGTGCTGGGTTAGCAGGGCAAAGAGAAGGGAGGATCGAACGGCTTTCTGCAACAACCAGAAGGGCAGCTGCAAAGATGATGGAGACTCGTCTCAGTTGTTACAGACAATACAAGGGGAAATACCCACAAATGTTTGTGAGTGGACCCCAGAAAAAGCTTCTTCATTAGGAGGTGGTGCAATCCTGGAGTAGGTACCCAGAGAGACATGATCTCCATCCTCAGCGGTTTTCCAGGCACAGACAAAAACATGGCTGCAAGTGGCAGTGGACTAGAAACCTCCAAGGCACAGTTAGGCAAGGAAGGCGCATTTCTGAAACGCAGGGACCCCAAAAAGGCCATTTCAGTCATTGCGGATAATCAGTGGAAAATGACCCCCCCAGCAGGAAAGCAGAAGGAAGGGTAGCAAAAGAGAACGAGAGAGGGACACAGTGTGGCTAGGCCATCACCCAGCACTACAAGAGGAAGGAAAAAAACCTGCTCAGAGCAAACCTCCAAGAATAGCTCCAAACAGAGTATAAAATATGCTGCATTGCCTGGTCTGCGTGTGAAGACTAGAAGCAGATATAATCAAGGTCTACAAGCACTACAGGGAAGACGAAACCCGATACTCAAGACTTGATCTATGAGACAAAGGTAAAACACAAAGCTGAGGTCAGAAGAGCTCAAAACGGAAGAGAAAAAAAAAAAACAGGAAACCAGTCGATGATCGGAGGCACCAGGAGCAAGTGGAGCTTCTGTAACTCAGAGCTTTGTCATACAGATGCATTGCCTTTTCCCAAAAGACCTGCTCAAAGTCTGAAAAAGGTCTCTAGGCTTGATCCAAGGACCACTCATCAGCCTCTGGTTTATTCTCCTTGTAGCTACTCCACCCGCACAACTTATCTGCTAGGAAGCAGAAGTTATTACCCTGGTCCACTAACCTAGCAGAGAAGCACCAGTTGCAACCTCCACCTTTTTACAGATCCCAATTAGTGCAAAGATCAAGGTCTTGTCCTGGGGAATGGGGTGTTTATTAGGATTCCCTCCTGCTCCCCTCATGAACAGACTTTGCATTGTGCTTGGGCTGCCTTCCCCAGCAGTTACCTTGAAGGAATAACGTGGAACTAGTCCAAGTGTTGTATTGTGGGAAACAGGCACATTCTAAAGGATTAAAGGGACTTACCTGTAATTACCACAGCTGCTGCACCCATCATCTTAGCAACCAGCACGTTAACAAGGCCAATTGGTCCTAGGTACAAAGGGGAGAAAGAAAACTTATACAACGGCCAGACAGCACCAGCCACAGGCTCTGAACATGCCCAGAGCTCAGCATGTTCCTAGGCTAAAGGAGGCTCCAGCTGTGTTTCCAGGCAGGCAGGCAGCTCTGGGATCACAGCATCACCACGATCCCAGGGCACTGAGACCAGCTGCTGAGAGAGCAGCTGTTGCCACATGAGGGACTCCACAAGGAAAACATCAACCACTCCTCTGGTCCCTCGAGCTGGAGGGCTCAACACGGCCAGACACCACACTTTGCATTTGGGCTGCTCAAAATGCAGCACTGTAGTGTATCATGGGCAAGGACAGCCTCAAGGTTCCCCTTGGCATCCCCATAACTCTGCCATGACCCACCCTTACAGCAGAGCCTAGAAGCACAGCCTGCACCCCATCCACCTCTCTCCATGCCGCAGCAGGCATAGAACCCAAGGACTGAATATATTCACCATACCAGAGCCGGACACGAAGACCTTGCTTCCCAGAGTGACTCCAGCCCTTTTGCAGGCGTGGATTCCCACCGAAAGAGGCTCGATAAGGGCTCCTTCTTCAAAGGTGACATTATCTGGAAGCCTGCAAGAACCAGACACAAGCACCAGTCACCAAAGAGGTTTATGAGGGCGAAGAGGAAAGCCATGACACTCAAAGACCAAACATGGGTCTAAATCACAGTGGCAAAATACACCCTCACCCTCGGGGTGAGAAATGCAGGGCTGGAAGGTGTTTCAGGAGGTTACATTGCCTCCTTCCCTCCTCTGATGCAGCATCAAGTACACCTAAACCAATTTCCAGTGAGGTTTGCCTAAGCACCAAACACAGGAATCCACAAACTTCCCCACACCATCTCTCTTGGTGAGTCAACCCTAAAACCCCTTTGCTGCTCATTCCCTTTGGAATAAACCCCACAGCTGTGTACGCACCACCTAAAAGGCTGCCCGATGGCTGGGACCCATCAGTGAGCTCCCAGATTCCTCATCTGGGTTGACTCATTCAGCTCCACGCTTTTAGAAAACATCTTACTGCCAACAGTGATGCCACAAAACAAAGGCAGCCAGATCCAGGTCTCCCCATCATGCCCTGGATGTCATCCTCTGATGCACCAAGTGCTTCAAACAGTGGACTGGTCCCAGCACACACCCTCCCAGCAGTCATGGAAAATGTTTACAGTGGGTATCAAACATCTTTTGGACAGAAACAGCACCATAATGCAGCAGTGATGGAAAAAAACAGAGGGGGGCAAAACCCTTCTGAACTGCTGACAAAGTAAATCCCAGCCCCACAAGCTGCCCTCCAGAAAGCCACCAGCGTGGGCTCTCACACAGCGGGTGCGGGGAGCTGTGTCTGCGTGGAAAGTCTGACAGCCCTGGGAAGCTTGAGGCCAGATCTCAGCCAGGCCAACACAAAGACAGCGTAAGTGGCAGTTGTAGGAAAGCAGCTGTAACATATCTATACGTCCCTTATCTCCAGGAGGCACCGAAAAGATGACTCCGAGAGTTTGGTTGCCTGAGAGTTCGGCATCACATCTGCTCCAACTGGGGCTGGGTTGCCAGTGGGGAGGGCAGCTTTGTGGTACGATCCCACCTCCACCAAATTACTCAGAGTACCTGTCCTGGTTTCAGCTGAGAGGGTTAATTTTCTTCATAGTAGCTAGTATGGGGATATGTTTTGGATTTGTGCTGGAAACAGCGTTGATAATATACAGACATTTTTGTTCTATGGACCTATTGTTGAGCAGTGCTTACACTGAGCCAAGGCCTTTTCTGCTTCTCGCACTGCCCTGCCAGCGGGATGGCTGGGGGTGCACAAGAAGTGCGGAGGAGACACAGACAGGACAGGTGACCCAAACTGACCAAAGGGATATTCCATACCATACGACATCATGCTCAGTGTATAAGGAGCTTGGGGGAAGAGGAAGGCGGGGGGGTGCAGCAGCATTCAGAGTGATGGTGTTTGTCTTCCCAAGTAACCGTTACGCATGACAGAGCCCTGCTTTCCTGGAGATGGCTGAACACCTGCCTGCCCAGGGACGTGGGGAATGAATTCCTTGCTTTGCTTTGCTTGTGCGTGCGGCTTTTGCTTTACCTATTAAACTGTCTTTATCTCAACCCACGAGTTTTCTCACTTTAACTATTCCAATTCTCTCCCCCATCCCGATGGCCCGATGGGGGAGAGGGACTGAGTGGCTGCATGGTGCTCAGCTGCCAGCTGGGGTAAAACCACGACAGTACCCAACACAGAGTCTGTCCACCTGCAGAAGGACAGACAACACCTGCCCAAATATGCAAGAGCCCACTGAGCTCAACCATCATCCTTTTTTTTTTTTTTGGCAAATCTGTGCTGGCAGAGTGACTTCATGCCAGGGGATGAATTCTGCTCTGCATCAGATGGCCACGGCATTGCTGAGCTGAAACCGGGAGCACCAGATCACAGCTTAAAAAAAAAAAAATTAGCCAAAGTAATATTTAGTCAAATTGGTGAAAAAAAGCAAAAGCCTGGAAGCAGACAGCTAGAAACCAGCCACTTCCTCTCAAGCAAAAATTTGTGATGTTGTCAGAAAACATTATTTTAACAACACAAAGGAAATCAGTGACAGCAGGTCTGGACAGTGAGAAGTTGGTCCTCTCCAGACCAGCATCTCATCCTGACAGTAGCTGCTTGGGATCCGCTTTGAAAGGATCTTCCTGCCTGAGGACCCTCATGAGAAGAGCATTCAAGTGCCTCCTTCTGATTTGATCCTGAACGCTTCCTCTGCAGACATCAAAGAC